AAAATAACCTTACCCCGTAAGGTATACGTATATAAAAATAAAACCCGGGCTTACGCTTACTATTTAAACTCCTAGTTTACGAAGTATATAATTATTAAGAGTATAGTATTATTAAAAAAGAGGGTTAGTATGCGTACTAAAAAACGTATTTTATATATTTCGAAGTTTATAAAACTAAGAATAGCGGGGGTAGCGAAGGGCGCAGGAACTAGAATAATTATTAAATTAATAACTTAAAGTATAAAAACGAGCGGCGTAATAAGAAATTAGTTATAAATAACTACGATAAGTATAAAAAAAGACCGGAGGTGCGGGTTAAAGAAGTCCTCTATATAAAAGCTAATATAGTTCTTATATAGCCTTTAGTTTTTATTTATTTAGCGAATAATATTATAAAGCTTAATAATATTTTATTAAAACTATAATTAAAAATACGCTTCTTAATAATAAAAAAGGATAATATATTTATAAAAGAGGGAGCGCTATTTATAATAACTTTAATAAGGGCCTAGGCTATTAGTTATAAAACGACTAGTATATTAATATACCCCTTAGCTAAATAGTTATTAAAATAGCGCGCATACTAACTATTACTTCTTATAAAATAACGATTATTATCCTTAGAGTTAGTATATTAAAGGGCTATTTTAAAATAGGGTAAGTATTAGATCTCTTATTTTTTAAAAGCCTCTCCCTTAAGCTTTTTAAGGATTAAGTATATATTAAATAGGCCTAGAATAGTAAAAAGAACTATACTTATTACGGGGGGTACTTTTATCTCTCGGCGTTTTTTTTTACTTCTTATTACTTTTTTAAAAAAAGCTAGTCTTACGTTTTTTAAACCTTAGAATAATATTAAATATAAACTCTTAAAATAATAAGTATATAATATACTTTTCTTAGAGGGCTTATTATCTAAACTAGTCTTATTTTTATTTTTAAACTCTAAGGGGGGGATAGGTAAAAGCTTATTAAAGCTCTTATTACTATTACTTACTTTATTATTACCTTTATTACGGCTATTAAAAAGAGCTTCGAACTTAATAAAGTCCTTAGTATTTTAATTAGTAGCCTTAATATCTCCTTAGTTAAGGAGGGAGAGCTTAGTAATTAGGCCCTAATAAGCGGGTAAGAGGTCGTAGGGAGAGGAAATAACTTAAAAGGGCTCGTTAATATTATTACTTATCTAAACTCTTAATAAACTATATAATATATATATAAAAAGTATTATAAAAATTACGTAAAACTTATTATTATTTTTAAATATATTAGATATTTATATTTAAAATAAAATTAGTAAATAATTCGATAGTATAAACGTATGCGCATAATAAACGGGGGTACCTATAATAATTATAAGAGGTTAAAAAAAAAAAAAAATTAATAGCTAAGTAATACTGTGAGAATTTAAATATATATAAAGCGGCTAGGTAGCCTCGCCCTTAGTAATTTATATACTAAAAGTAGTATAATATATACTATTCTAAGTTAAGATTCTATTTACTTTAAATAAAAGGATATATTTATAATAAACGCAGTTTAAAAAACGCATATCCTTTATACTTATTTTTCCTTTATTTATATTTAACTAAATTAGGCCTTTATAAGGGTATTTAGAAATTCTATTTTAGGTATAATAGCTCCCTAATAGTAGTAATTAGGGAGTATATTACGTAATAGAAATAGTAATTATACCTCACGAAGTACTCGTTACGTACTAAATTACGTATTTATCTTAGATATTATATATATAGACCTTTTCCTTTTATCTATTTCTATTTTAATAGTTAAGCCACTTTTACTACACTCCGTATGCCCATTGCTGCGTGCCATAACTCGTGACAGAAATCATCTTGGCTATAGCACTTTCTAGAGCGCGCGATTCAGTCGACGGTATTTCGGACGGGCTCATCCCAGCGAGTCAGCCTATCTAAACGCAGACCGAGTCCAACCGCAATTTCCGACTGTACCAAACGGCCAGTTTATACTTTCTTGATATATTGAACTCTCCACCGCTGTCAACCATGTCTCGCAGTGACCGCAACCGATCCCGCCTTGTCTCCTTACTTGGCACCGCGCAGTGCCGCACTACCGCGTCCGCCCGCGAATGATCACCCCTCGTGATCCACCCAACAAATGCCCGTTTAATCTACCTTTTCACTCGTTACGAGTGCAATCAACCTAGGCAAACCAAACGTCCAAGTTTGCTCCTCCAAACAGCCGGGTTGTGGGCAGCGGTAATGTGCACCAGGTCCCGCTACCCGTGTGTAACTTTCGTCAACACGAGACCAGTTGCGTATCCCTCGGATAGGGGTCGAGGTATTTGAGGGTGCGTCTCCCTCTCCCCACGCATGTGTTGAAGATTCTTTGGCAAGCGCTTTCACGCCTCTCCAAGTCAATCCAACCTGACCGTCTCAACCACTCGTTGAGGAACCACATTCTTTTAATAATACCAGACCATAGTAATAATGCTGTTCCGATCTCTTGGCTTGGCCTCTATGGCCGCCGTGGCCGCTCAGGCTGCCTCTGACGGCACTACCTGCACCGAAGGAACAGGTGCAGCTCCTCGTTATGTCATGTACTTTGACCAGTAAGTTGCTCCAATCACCCGGAATCCAAGACAATTTTCTAACAGATCCAATTAGGTACCACACCGCAGGGATTCCGGACAAGTCCGTAACTTCCGGTGTTACCCACGTAATCACCGCATTCGCCAACTCGTCCCTTTTTGCTTCCGATCCGGCTGGCGAATACAAGCCGTTCAAGCCCCTGAATGAGGTTCGCGCTCTTTTCAACAACGGAACCAAGGTCTGCATGGCCATCGGAGGTTGGGGCGACACGGACGGATTCGGTCTTGGGGCCGCCACCAACGAGAGCCGTCACAAGTACGCCATCAACGTCGCAGAGACGGCAGTCAAGCTCGGATATGACTGTGTCGGTAAGTGAAGCATGATCCTTCGCCGTGTTTCTGTTATGATAGCCGACTAAACGTGGTCTTAGATGTCGATTGGGAATATCCCGGTGGCAATGGTGCGGACTACATCCAGAAGCCAAATATCCAGAAGACTTCGGAGATCAACACCTTCCCTCTGCTCCTGTCCGCAATCAAGACTCAGCTGAAGCACCATAAGATGGAGCTTTCCGTCACCGCCCCGGGCCTGAAGCGCGACATGATTGCGTTCACCAAGCACCAGACTCCCAAGATCAACGCCGCCGTCGACCACTTCACCGTCATGACCTACGATCTCATGAACCGCCGTGACAATATCACTAAGCACCACACCGACATCAAGGGTTCTCTTGAGGCTATCGACACCTACATCGCTCTTGGCGTCGAGCCCGCCAAGATCAACCTTGGCTTTGCTCTCTACGCCAAGTGGTTCACCACCGCCAAGGGCTACAACTGCACCCAGGGTCTCGGCTGCCCCACCGAGCTCATGGAGGCTGCCGACGGCACCGATACGGGAATGTCTGGCGCCGTCACCTTCGAGACCGCCAACTTCCAGGCTGCTCCCACCAACCTGACTACTTCTCCGGATGCTTCCTGCGGTGCCGGAACTTTCTACAAGTGCCCCACTGGCAACTGCTGCTCCCAGTACGGATTCTGCGGTGCCACCGCTGCTCACTGCGGTAATGGCTGCCAGTCCGACTACGGTATCTGCAACGGCACCTCCACCCTCTCTTCCTTCAAGACTGCCATGGCCAACGGCAAGACCGATGAGGTCAGCGGTGGCCAGTGGTACTGGGACCCCGCCGGTCCTTTCTTCTGGACCTGGGATACTCCTGCTCTTGTCACCCGCAAGTTCAATGAGATTGCCAAGGCTCGTGGCCTGGGTGGCGTCGCTGTTTGGAGTTTGGGTGAGGACTCGTACGACTTCAGCCTTCTCAAGGCCATTCAGGCTGGTGTCAAGGCTTGGTTTTAGGAGAATTGGTGTTCCTTGGAACATTTAAGCGAGTCTGTCATATAATTGAAGCTACAACAGCCATTTTCTTTTTTCTCACCTCGTCTTTTCTGTATTCACGAGCCTCTTTTATTGTTATGCTGTGGTGACCTCGTAATGTTAATTTCCCACCTTTGCTCCAATGACTCCAACTAAGCAGGCAAATTCTTCATGTGGTCATCTAGCTGACTTGGGGGATTAGGTGTATATGGCCATCTGCCATCTGTTGAGTAATAGTTAGCGAGCTTGAGACAAACTGACTTCTACATCTGGCACATATGTCTCGCTCGGGTCCTTTCCGAATTATCAGCACCCTCCAGTATTTCCCGACAGTTCTGTGGCATTAAACTGGACCATGGCTGTTCATTGATAGTTAAGAGGCGATGGAATCACTTGCTGCATATGAGTAGAGCTATGACATCGTGAACGCCTGGTATAAATGTAGCTCAATTAGAAAGAAGTGTCCAGACTCAAAGGATTTTGCAGGAGCCTTGTGGCATATCTAAAGAGCTATGTTTAGAAAAGCTACAGTGGCCAGGAAGCTTTCTGACGTCATGTACCTATACTACTTACTTGGAGTAAATGCTAGGAGGACATGCTGGCAAGAATAGAAAAGTTCAAGCTCAATAAATAGCACAAAGATCCTCGAAGGAAGACATGGTGATTTCCTTCTTGTCTCAAAGACAATAGTCGTGTAACAATGACTTGGACTGATCAATGCCTGACGCGACAACTAATAATACCGACGAACTAGGCCCATGATATGCGTACAATAGATTTGTCTGAGCGATGACAATGCAAGAGAGACCAAGAACAGTTGATCAAAGGCACAAAAGGCCGATGAAAATTTGTTAATGTATAAGATGGACTAATACCAAGATGCAATGTCATATCTGGAGTTCTCTCATACCACATCAGCCAATCACCAACATTCTCATCACCAAACTTCTCAACATACTCAGAATTTCAAGACACTAAAAGCGAAGTCCTCCAGAAAGAGGTAAAGTACACTAATCAGGCAACAAAACCTATCACTCCATCCCCTAAAAGAAAAGCAACATGTCCGCTCAATCGTTGCATGCAGTTTTCCCAGCTCGGAAGGGCCCTATCAACCTGCCCTACGAGATTTTCCTCCTCATCGTAGAGGCAATGATTTCGGAGGCCTACGAGCGGGCTAGACATGAAAAGGTAATCTACACAATTGATTTCACGGACGGACAGCATCAAAGTGTCTCGCAGTCCAGTTTTTCTGTTGTATTGTGGGGCCGTAAAAGCTTCAAGATACAGATGCAGCGATGGAAACAAATCCGCGACCTTCTACGAATTGACGGAACCAGCAGACGCTTGGTAAAAGGAGCCTTCGTTACCAACGACATGGTACGCGTCGCGTACTTTTCACGCACGTATGATCCTCGATCCATGGACGAAAGGGTCCGTCTGCTGCCAGGGTGTGTGCTTCCGGATGTTGACATTTTCGAGATAGCGCCGGACGGGAATAGCATCTTCCATGCATCTTTCACTCTTCATCCTCAACCTGAACACGAAAAGCTTTTTCAACTAGTAAGACGGGTCAAAGGGACTTGGTTTGACTACCTACCCACTCAGATTTGGCCGCAAACTCTTACTCCTGAAACGCTGCTGTGTTTTCCCAACTTGCGAGAAATTTGGATCCATGTCGAACAAAACTTCACAGGGATCGATCCGAGAGTCTCTTTCCATGACTCTCACGATGACGACATGCCACTCGACACCCAAATTCTCCCCGAACTGGGTCTGGATGCATCGGGTCACGACCTGAAGACTTTGAAGACGCAGTTGCGCGTTGCAGAAAAACGAGGGATTGATGTTTACGTAACAACAAGCACAGCATGGACACAGAGTTCCCGCGCCAAGACATTACGATTATCCTTGAAGGATGGAGCTGTTCGAATGCGGTTCCTTGACCCGCATTGCGATTGTTACCTTGAGCTTTCTGAGGATCTCAGAGCTCTTGGCCTTACTCTACAGCAAGCGATGCAGCAGCAGGATTAGTTTTTCATGAGGCTTGGACTGTGGTATTTACGATAAGGTATCACGGATGAGTGTTTAAGAGTATGCTTTGCGTTTCCATTTCTAGAGGTTGTTTGTATCACTTGCGGTAGATTGCAGCTTACATCAAATTCTTGACTTACTTTCCCATCATGACACTGACGGTCGATGCTGTTTCACGCAGTGTTCTTTGTCCACTTCGATTGTGATAAGACCACAAATCATGTACAAAACAGTTGACCTCATCAGGCTGGGTTCAAGATGGTAGGTACCCAAGCCAGCTATCAATGTAGACACCTTACTTGGGTGTCGAATGCCCATAGAGTCTCTCTTTTGATTGTATGCGCAACTATTCACTTTATTCATTAGAAGTCCTCAATAGCATGAAAGGATGTCCATCTTATTGTTCGACCCATTTCGCGAGATGTCGATTCCTTCATTGTCCCATCCTATGTTTCAAAGTTCGAGGAAACGCCCCCACCTCCCACCCCTCCCCCTTTGCCATTCGCAATGCTCCTCCGGTATCTCGTCCTTCGAGAGCATAACTCTACAGATAATAGCATCTAGGGGTGACTTTCGGAATTCTCCCTGAGATCGGCGAGACGACATTGCCGAAGGAGCAAAGCCATATCTAGACAAACCTCATCCACCCAGCACTCGCAGTTCCGGCAGTTGGACTTGACGCGAATGGCATCCTCGGTGATATCCAGCTCCAGATTGGACTTGAATGTGTTCGTGGAGACACGGGCGATGATTGAAGTGTTTCTCTTTCTGAACTGAGGACCAAACTTTCGAGCAACGTCGCCGTAGTCTTCCGCCCACTTGGCCAACGATGGAAAGTGGAACGCGTCAACGGTCGTAAACTCTGGGTGGGATTCCGAGAGAGAGCATGCGCACCTGTCGTCATTCTCCTTCGGTTGATAGTTACCACCATCGATGACGATCTTGCGGAGGTTGGGAAGGGAAGCGAGCACGTCGACAAAATTTTCGAAGTTCTCTCGGAAGAACTTAGTGTCGCTTCCGTTGATGGCCGTGATGTTCCGGACGATCTTATTGCCATTGACGGTGGGCAGAATGATCGAGGCCTTGAGAAAATCGATCTCGTGATTTTTCTTGAGAGTGAATATGTCGGTAGCGAGGCACACCCGTCCCACGAACGGGACCCGGTAACACCGATGCCTGCGTGTGATCATGGCCATTCGAGGGAAGTATTTGCTAACCATATTGCGGCTTCTGGAATCGATGTGCAGGAGGTCGCGAATTCGGTTGATTCGTACGTAGTGATCATCGTCATAGCCGATCGTGCTGACGACAATCCTGGCCTCACTCCGTCTGTCGTACTCGAGAACGTGTTCCAGCGGATGGGTGTGTTTCACTTCTTGCCGGACGAGAACCTCGATGATATTGAGGAAAATTTCGTAAGGGACGCGGACCGAATCGGTCAGGTTCGGAAGCTTTGACAGAGACATGATCGTGGCTTTCCGCTTGCGTTATTTCGATGGTCAAGTTCAATCTCTCAACTGTATTCGTCTGGTGTCGGTGAAGCAAAGACCGAAAGTCCTTGGTTTCGATGTGGCGACGGCTGTCGTGCCTTTTCGACAGCTTGAAGCCGGGAGATTAGAGTGACACGTTTGCCTTCCTGCGAAGGAAACAAATGGAAAAACGAGGAATATATTGGAAACCGATGATGTGAAAGGGAGAGAGGTAACCTTTTGGTTGTCAAGGGAATTGGAAGGAAGAAGGAGAAGTCAGCCCCTCCGTGGAAGGCTGAGGCGCAAGGCTACGAAGGGAAGTCTCGACTGATTCACCAGCTTGCCGGGGGCGAAGAACTTGGCAGTAGCACAGTAGGGTGCCGTCTGTTCAGCTATTAGCAGTTTTGAGATCACAAGTTCTAGCCGGGAGAGGTATGGTTGTTGTGACTTGGATAACGAAATCGTCTTTGCGGCCTGTCATAAGATATCCCGGCAGTCCATTCATCTCTAGATAAAGCCCAAACATTATGCGGAATGGCAACCTGCCAAAATGGGACAAAATTCTGTAAGGACATGGAGCTGTAGATCTAAATCGAGGTGAGAATGTAGCTATAGTAGCCTACAATTGAAAATGAGTGTCTATCAACTTTATCAAGACTGCTACAGGTGTCGTATTTTCAATTTCGTTCACTGCTAGATCTTGGGGATCTTTGAAACCTTCGTTCTTCTGAACATTGTCAGTGTCAAGTTCACATTCACCATAACGATACTGCAATTCATCACAGTTTAGATGGGCTGGGCCCTGGTCTATGGAAATCTCAACTCCATCCTGTCTTTCATGGACAAGTCGTACTTGATGTACCTATCTGGCACCTCATACATATGTCCCGTCGTCAGAACTTGTTGATCACGCCTTAACGGCGCGTAATTCGATTGTTTATCTTATATTGGTCCAGCTCCTTTTTCAATTTTATCTGATATGGCCGGGCAACATCTTCGACCTGCCCTGAATCGGGTGCCCCAGCCCGACTCATAAGCCCCAACAGCCTCTTGGGATCATGAGCGAAAGCGATCCCGTCAAGAACACTCGGATCAGCCCCCTTGTCAAGAAGCCACTCCACGTAATCCCAGTCCCCCGTGGCACAAGCCAAAGTCAGAGCAGTCTGCTCCCCTCTTTCTCCTGCCCACTTCACGTCATCGACCCCTACATCATCGAAGCTCAACATGTGCTCAGCCATCTCACGACGCATGGAGAACGGGCTCACCCATCGTTCACCGTCCTCACTATGTTGGCCGACAGCTGATAATACTAACATGTCTCGCACGATGCGCAGCAAGGGCATGAGTTCGGAGACCTTGAGGGCAGGATCGCTGTACGTTCTGAGCAGCTCGAAGAACCGCGGATTCCAGGTCTCAATCGCAAGACCAAATGTCCATATCCCATGCCGATGAAACGGAACCTCAACTGGAAACCAGACATCTGGTTCTTGTTCCCTAAGTGTCGGAATATGATACCACCCTGGCCCAATATTCGGATCAGCGCCGCAAGAGAGGAGAAATTTGGCCAGAGGTTTGTTGCGGACGCATAAAGGATCTTGGAGCGCCCAATTTGGGTAGTTCCCCTCTCTGGGCTCCCAAGCTTGATTCGGGTGCCACCCTGCGTCCATGAAGGCTTGCAGTAGAGGAACCAAGGTATCGTCATCGTCTGGAAAAGTCTCGAAAAGGGAAGCGCCAACAGCGGTTCCTCGTGTCTTTGATGCGGCTTCCGTGCCTTCAAAGACGTATCCGTGGAGAGCTGTACCGTTGGCAAGCAAGAACTTGGCGACAGCAGGCTGGTTCCCGAAAGAAGCTTGCTGCAGACCAAATTGACGAACTGCGTGACTAGGAGAAATGTCGTGAATGAAGACTTCAACCTGTTGCAGGTGGCCCATTCGACAAGCAATGTAGAACCCGAGCTCCATGGGGTCATCGGGGTTTAGGTTACCGACATCAATAGCATAATCGGGTCGTGGAAGGCGAGGCGGCAGCGGGGGCAAGTCCACAAACAGAGCTTCGAATTCTTGAATTTCGTCTATTAGCTGAGGGGCATCGGAAATGGGGCGCTGCTTCGATAGACGTTCCTCATTGATGCGTTTGACGTATGCAATATGCCATCTCAGCCGCGCCCGGCGTTGGGAGTTACCTTGCGCTGTAGTGTGTCCCATGTTAGACAGTGGCGAATCACGAGTACAGCCGTTTAACTTATCCGGAACGGATACTTTTTGAAGCTTTTAACACGAAGCCAGGCCAGAATACAACTGCGCGGCCATGTTTATGATGAATTTCTGGCTTGCATTGTAGAATGTTGGGGTTTCTTTGACCCATATTCCAGTCCAGTTCAGTCATTAGTGGAGGCAACACGGAAACGGAACGCGATCGAAGAGTAATGGGGTCAATCAAGGCGATGAAGTAACTAGGGGGCAGAGGCAGACACTCCAATCTTCCCTTGCCAAGTTCTTTCCAACGCTGACACCGACTTCTTTGTTAATGTTCTCTTGAGACTTTCCCCGAGTGCTTTCTGCCTCCCTGATGTACCTTCATGTTTATTTACTCGGACCCACTTGGGCTATTGAGGTGAGTTTTGTATCCAGTCTATTTTCGGGAACAACTGCAGTGGCATGAGTTCATCCCTTCAAAGTACAAATGGCTCCTCGAGGACCTCGCGTCAATGAACTGCTCTCTTCAGTAAGAAAAAGTACAATGTTGGCAAGTCTACGACAGAGTTGTTTGTCCCAGATTCAGAAGGGGTGATGTGGTGTCACGAATCAAAGCCCCAAAACAAGGGCGTTACACTTTCAATCAGGCAATCATCTCCCCTTTGAGTTGCGATAAGTCCACTGGCGACTTAAGTGCACTTCCTCCCTTATTTTTTACCAGACTACGTCGCTGTGTTGTCTGCCATCTCTTTTCCTCATCAATCCATTTTTGAAAACATATCATGCCGTCGAAGTCCGGGTTCACTCTTTTCCTAGGCTCGTTGCTGTTGGCCAGTCCTCAATTAGGAGTACTCGCTGAACCATCACACATCATTCAAAAATGGGCAGCATGGACAACCAGCTACAACAACAAACATGTTGTTCTGGCAGAATCACCGCCACCTCCTGGCCCACCCGGTCCATCTGTAATTCCAATTCTGACGACAACTCCATCAGCTCCTCAGACGTCTCCTCTGCCTCAATCAACCAAGAGCGAAAAGTCATTCAACCCATCCGACGTACCCACAGTATGGCCCTCCTCCACAGCTGCGGTACAGAAACCGGGAACAGCTTGCACCGAAGACAGCCACTGCAACCTCCCAAACCAGTGCGCTCGCGACCAGACCCCGGCTTGTGATAAAGTGGCCCAGGTCTGCAAGTGTCTAGCCGTGCCTACGCTTGCGCCTACATCGGATCCTACCCCAACAACGCCGACCAAGAACACCAGCAAAGCTCCGTATCCTATTGTCACACAGTGGATCAAGGATATGGAGATCAAGGTCGGCGAGCAGAAATGCAACGACAAGGTTTCGTTCGGCCAGGAGGTCATTAGCGGGAGGGATATCCTGATGGATATTGAGAAGATTTGCAAGGCGTTGGATGAGAAGAAGCTGCGGATATCGCCAGATAGCGGGGAATACAAATCCAACGGGCTGGGCACGAATGGTTCAAAACATCATTTTACAATTTCTTGGATACAGGGCTGCACCTTTCCGAGCAAGGAGAGAACAAAGTATGGCATGAGGGCCTTTGATCCGAGGGAGACGGGGGAGGAGATTGATGGGATGAATCGGTGCGAGTACATGCTGAACTGGAACTGGAAAGAATGTGAGTACAGCTCGTCTACCAGCTACTTCATTGACAGATTCATTAACCAACATTCGTATTGTATGCTGACCTTTTTGATACAGGCGATAAAACCAATAGCGGCAAAGGAGGGTATCGAGATATAGGCTGCCTGCGGTACGCCACGGGACCGGGAGAAGAGGGCACCAAGGGCACGGGCGACGGTGTCAAGGAGAGGCTAAAGGAACTGGCCAGAGACCTGGGACCGTGGGAGACCATTTTCTGAAAAAACAAGTATTACTTCTATGAGGCGATCCTATGGATGTAGCTATAATAATCTTCACTTCTCGACAACTTCTATGGAGAAAGGCTCAATGGCTGATGTGTCTCCTGATGCGACATTCCAAACGCCGTATATGCTACAATAGATCTTTTCGGAGGGCTAAGGGGGTATACAGTCCTCTTCTAATTTGTGTCGCGACGGACACACTATACATCAGACACATCCTCCCTCTTCTCAATGGGTTTGCAAGAGAATGATGACCTCTCTCAAGCACTCTTCTCGATGTCTCGAGGTCCGGTCTGCTCCTCGCTCGCCAACACGCCCGTAGACTTCTCGCTGTTACCACCCGCAGCCGCAGCAGCAGCAGCAGCCTCCCTCTCCCTCTTCCTCTCCAGCCGCGCGAGCTGCTTAGCCCGCTTACTCTCATTCTTCTCCTGATCCTCCCTCATCTGCCGAATAATCGGGCTCTTTGCGCGAATCTTCTCGCCGTACCGCCAAAAGATGATGGGGATCGGAATGAGCGCGAGCTCGAGGAGACCGCAGAGCGTTCCCGCCCACTGGGGCGACATGGCCTTATACATGGACGTGCCCGCGAGCGGCAGCGTGCCGCCAAACATGCTCCGCATGACGGCGTTGCCGGCCAGCGCGGAGGCCGCGTAGATGCCGTACGCGCCGGCGAGGTAATTGGACCCGTAGATGAAGGAGATTGTGTTGCCGGCGCCAAAGGGGATGCCGAAGGCGATGGGAATGGCCCAGTGGATCGTGGCGGGGAGGCAGGTCCAGGAGAAGACGAGCTGGCCTATGGGGGTGAGGATGGCGCCGATGGTCATTACGCGGGCGGTGGCTTCGGGCGGGACGCGGCCTGTGATTGGGTCCTTTGGGTGAGCATTGATGATGCGGCGGAAGATGGGCTCGCTGATGATGGCGAGGATGGTGCCGATGCCGATGCCGACGAAGGCGAGGCCCGAGACGCCTGGACCCCAGCCGCGGTATTGGGAGAAGACGATGGGGTAGGCGACGAAGCAGAGGTAGAGGATGCCGTAGATGAGTGAGATCCTGGGCTTTTTGTTAATATTTCGGCCGGGGCGGTGGGGGGGGGGGGGGGGCGTGACGGGAGAGTCTTACCAGAGGTTGAAGAACCACAGAATGGGCTCTGTGAAACTGAGAACAAAGGGACGGCTGAGATTCAGCTTGATAAGGTGGACCTTGGAAACCTTCTCGTCGTAGCGGCACCACCAGCGCGGATCATCCGTCTCTTTGCGAATGCGAGCGGCCTTTCGTTGGAGAATGGTGGGTGCGTAGGTCTCACGGAGGGTGAACATGAGCGCGATGCCCACGCCGGCGATGATGAGGACGATCCAGTTGGTCCATCGCCAGCCTAGGTACTGGTACACAAAGCCACCGATGATCGGGCCGGTGACTGGACCGTTCAAGGGGGCGATGGAGTAGAAGGACATGGCGAGGGCACGATACTCCTCATCTGAAATGTCCACCACCGTTCCTGGGCTGTTGGCGATCAAGGCAGCTCCGAACAATGCACTGGGTTACAGTGTTAGATGATCCCGGTTACTTGAGAGAGTGGATTGCTTACCCGAAGAAGCGAACGACGATCAGTGTCGTCAGAGACTTTGCAAGAGCGCAGGGAATGATCAGAAGAGATGAAACGGTGAAGCATCCAAGGTAGACATATTGCCGGCCATACAACTCGCTCATCGGGGCAACGATCAAACTGCCGGCAGCCAAGCCAAGAAGGTAAGTAGTAACACCAAGCGTCGCAATGACCCTGCTCGAGTGATACTCCTCAACGAGGCCGGGGATAGATGCCGTATAACTCGTGCTGTAAAGCACGACAATCCAAGTAGAGAGTGAGACGACGAAGATGGTCCAGCCGCGGTACCATAGGGGCCAGTTCTTTGGGTTCTCTGGGTCATCGGGCTCAAATACGACCTCGTAATCCGGAGGCCGTGACGCGGTGCTGCCGATACTCGTGCCGGTGCGAGTGTACGTGATGGGCTCTCGAGCGACGTGCTCTGCCTCGGTCTCGAGGTCGGGCGTCAGGGCGTGCTCGAGTGGCTCGAGGGGGTCGGTGTCGGTGGACGAGTGGGACGAGGCCCGGCTCCGGCTGTGGTGGCTGTGCCGGGACTCGACCTCCTTGAGCGGGCGGAGTGGCGGAGAGTCTTGGCCGGAGCTGGCTGAGGTCGCGGTCGCCGTGTCGGTGGCGGCCGCGTTGAACCCGGTCCCGAAATCGTGTATTGCGGACATTATTCGATTTGCTGCCGAGGTCTTCTTTGGTTCAAAGGCCTGTGTGGGTAGGCGCCCGGCGCGATGTTTGATCTCCCTCCACGCAAAGAGTGGCCGAATGTCCTGGGAATTGCGGCTCTTGGGGGTAATCGGGACAGGGAAAGTAGATCAAGAAACGGCGCGCCGAGCCTCGGGACAAGAGACTTTTAACCGTACTAGTAGTATCTCTGACCGAAGGTGTAACAAACTTCCTTCACAGCTAGACGCAGTCGACAAAGCGGGTATACTATGCAAATGAGTCAACGGGAGATTTGCAAGAGGGGCGGCCCCGAAGAAATCCTTCAAGAGACACGGATAGTAGATAGGACCTCTAAGAGCGAGGGAGAGACAGAAGAGTTTTACAAACCGACAATTTCTCAAACGTCCCACGCCCAAGCCCACGCCCCCAGCAGCACAACGCCGCCGTCAAAGGGGCGAGGGGACCTAGTGCTAGATCCATGGAATGGGTGGTGGGCGGCAACCCGCATCCGATCCACCGCCGCGAAAAGGGTGCTGGTGGGGTGCGCGGTGTGGGTATCCTCAAGGCACGCAATCGGAGCAGGATTGGGAAAGGAAAGGGACAACCTGACGAGGAGAGCACTAGAATTGGCCCATTGGGTAGGTGATCGACCTTCAGAGCCCGACGGGGATAACGGCGGAGCTAGGGTCGCATCGCCTCGGGCTAGAGTGGCCGCCGTCTTGGAGCGAGGTGACGAAGAGGGCCGACATTTGGTTGGATGCGTGTGTCGCTTCACCTCGAGACTTTGAGGTATCGTATCATCGAGACTGAGACACGATGCATCTCTAGAATTAGAGTCTGGAACTGCTTCTGCCCCCGCTTCATGAGAATCCCCAGCTTCTCCTCCGCATTGGAGCCTTGCAGTCGTGGTGCTGTGGAAGCGGAAAAAACAGTGCCAAATCCCGCGTTTCCTCTTATCAATGGAGCCCATCGTTTTCCGGTGTGAGATGAGTCGATGATTGGGGAGGTGTGGAGTTCAGCCGAGGTCCGCTTCGGTTTGCCCCACTCCCATTGTCCCATGAGAATAAGCACTGCTGAGGCGGGTGAGAACATAAGTCATGTCTCTTTCGCCATTTGCGTGCAAGACAATGCCGCTCACGTCTCCGATAGGATACACTGTTTACAGTGTAGTTGATAGATGAAGTCATATCTCGCCTTGGCAGCTCCGACAATGATCTTCGCGGCCTCGCCCATGACCTTGTCGAGAGTTTTCCAGAACGTCTGGCGGAATCGAGAATACCACCACGAAGGTTTGCGGATTGGCCAGTTCCGCGTGGCTTCCCAGGACGGTGGAACCTGTCAGGCAGTGTGTCGCAAAAGTTATTCCCGGCGGAAATCCCTGGACGCTAGATACCGTCCGAGGCTTCGGCGGGGCGCTGACCGCATAAGCAGCAAAAACAATCATCCCTTGTTTTGACTTTTGACGATTCATACGGATGAATGTAGGAATTTCTCCTTCGTACAACGAGAGAATTTCCCTTCAAAATGCCATTGGTAGACGGCGTATGCTGTGCGACCTGGGCTAGATGTCGGAGTGGCTGTCCTTCGTAGCGATGGTGCTGTTGCACGACATGCGTCTCAGGCAATGCAGCATTGTCACCGGACTAAGAACGTGAGGCAGTATGAAATCCGAGGTGAGACGCCGAAGGATGAACCTGGAAGATGGAAAAAGTCTGAAAGATAAGCCAAAGTCGGCCGGTATCCATACCCATGGCCAGAGCTTTCGGTCAGGGTTCCCAATCCGGTTTTGGCGTGAGGTCGGCGGATCTCGGCGAAAGCGGGGCTTCGGATGTCTGAGGTCCGCTTTCGGCTCCGATCTCCGGAGATGCAACGACATTCCCTCTTGCTCCTTCCGACTTGTGTGAGTGTTTCATACTGGCCTTATAAGGTATCTAGTAGACTACAGATATCTTATGTGACTGAGATGGCTATACAGAGCTGAGACTCTCTTTCGAATCAGCACCTGAATCTCGGTTGTTGTCTGTGGTATTACGGTCGGAAGGATGGATGCAGTTTTTCTTGCTCTCAGTCGGCCGTATTGACTGACCAAAATGCGCAATTGAGATCCAAAAGGATAGAGCATGTAGTCGGATACTAACAAAAGTTACCTGCAACTCGCGTCTTCAGCGACGGAACCAGTCGACGATTAGACATGTCGTCGAGATATGGAGGGGCTCGAGTCAATCTGACTTCGCAGTTGCAGCTTGTCACGAAACCGTTGTTCAGACGACAGCTACACGGACCAGTCTGCAGCCGCCACTTAAGAGTGTAAAGTTATTCCATTCTATACGATGATTCTATTTGGAATGACTTACGTGATATTTCGTTCCGTTAAGATCTGCAAGTGCGAAGAGTGGGAGGATGATGTCACGTGATGAGTTGGGAGGTATTGGATGATTAATGATGCAATGTTTCTAGAATAATCAATCAATCCAACATAGCCCAAATAATCTTTTGGGTAGCAGACATCTAGGTCATGCCTTTCAGTCAATTTTACTGAGGCGTCAATCTCAGACTTGGGCAGGGGCTCGCGACTTGACTTAAGCCTAGAGATGCCATAGTATAAGGTCGCCTAAAGACCAGAAAAAGACCAAAAGTCGATACCAAAAAGAGTTCACCCCCCCGGTGTTGAACTGGGGGCTACATCTCTTGGTGCACATGCTGGGAATCGAACCTGAACCCTGGTGAAGACGAGTCTGCCGCC